CCGTGACATCTCTCAGGCTTCTCTCTGCAATAGCAGCGAGTTGCTGCGGCAGTATGCTGCGCATGAAATGGTACCTTCAGGCTTCTCTCTGGTCGCCGTGTGCACGAAAGTGTCTAGGGATATTGCAATTAAAAAGCACCCGGTATTGGTCGGTGGGGCAAGCAGGAGCCCCAGGAGCATGCTGAGAGATGCGACGCGAACAGACTTTGGGACGCTCGGGTCGGGTGATGTTTCTGAACGCAGTTCGGGAAAAGATTGGAAGATTGCTAGATTGTCGATTGCACGCTTCACGTAATATTGTTGTTGTTATCGTGTTTAATGCCATGATTAAGAAATGCTGGAATATTATAATCGTTCGGAGACAAATAATCGATAGCAACATTACTTAATACTTGTTTTATAACAATTATCCTTGCTATACAAGTGCTTGTACTTAGAGAAGTTACTTGTACGTGGAGAAATATCAGAAAGATCTTTTCGTGTCTTTTTCCCTGTATACGTCAAATTGACGTTATATATTGTGTGTATATATAATTAGGTGGAAAGACGCTCATTTTTTTGCTAGGTATAGGACAGATTGTGTAAAAGGTGTGCCAGATTGAAAATTCGAAGACTGAAAATGGAGGTTGGTTTCTCTTTCTCTTGAAACTAATATAATCTTTATTTTATGTGCTGTAAAGTTCTGTGCGAACTCAAATTTTTCTAATAGAATATATTGTGTTTATCCAATTTTTATATAATATAAATTATGATCGCGATCAATATATAATAATAATAATTTACTTTATACCAGTTAATATCGGTTAACTTTTAATCCACCAACTATAATATCTTGTTATATTGTCAGTTGATATCAACTGTACCAATCGATCAACAATACAACAAGCAAAGTTTTGTAACCTGACATTTTGTCCACAAAATGTCAGTAGAGACACAACAGAATATTATGACAGATTGACTGTAGGAATACAAGTAGAATCCATTGTAATTATTTAAATTTACCAGACAACCATCAGATTATTGAGCTTTGATAGCAAAATACTTAATCTCGACACAATTTGGGAATTGTTAAAATACATATATCATAGTATTCTCAAGTGTATCGATTGAAATTGTATACTAATGCTTTGTTCGCTGGTTGTAGATAGATGAATGCTCGGCCGGTGGAGATAGCGGAGCGGAGGAAGACGAGGAAGAAGCTTCGACGCACGAATCCAGAACTGACAGCAGTAGTAGTATGAGCGGTAGTAGTACAACGACAGACAGTGAGCAAGACAGTGGCGAAGATCATGCCACAAGCAGCAGCGAGAGCCACAGTTCTGCAGAGGAGGACGAGGACGAAAATGCAGAGTATATGGTGAACATTGAGAACCCTGATGATGTGGTAAAATTCATATTCTGTTTTGTATTTGGGTTGGCTTTTGTTCAGGGACACAGTTTGACTCGAATAACGTCCTATCTTTCTTGCTACACGCCAAGAAAGACGACCAATGTCTGTGGTACCTGTGCCACTAAACGAAAAGCACCCGTTTATACTTGACGGGAAAGTTAGCGAGATCACGGAGCAAAACTAGAATATTTTTATAATTCCTGTCTCATCACTAGGTCTGTGTATATACCGAGAGGTAAACTGCTGAAGGCATTGTGGTGTACAGATTTGTGGCATTACTGGGCACTACTGGGCTTTTTTTGGGGCCTTACAAAGATAAAATAAGATAATAAGATAAAGTAATGCTCACTGGGCATTAGGCATTGGTGTAAATGATTTTGGCCAGCGGTTTACCCCTCGATAAAAATAATCCCGCAAGTATAACATATTTTTTAATGATGCTTCTTTTCTGAAATATTTATCTTCAAAGTTACAATTTCTAAAATGTTATTCTTAATTAACCTTTATATTACTGTTCAGATCTTAATAACTTGTAATGATTAGTTTTAGATCTAATGAAGGTCTTTAAAACAATGTGATAAGTTTTTTGATACCAGGTCAAAGAGCCAAGAACGGACCACTTTTGACCCTTCTAATCTGCAAAACTTTCAAGTCAACATGTTTTTTAATTTTACAGTTTTTTTTTAAGATACTCCTTATCTTGTTAGAGAAAAGGTACTCTAGTTTCATTTCGTTAAAGGTTTTCAAGAAAAGCTCATTTAAATGATATAAAGTAAATTTTTATTTATTTTTATTTCTTTAAATTCATTTCGACAATGTCAAATTAATTATGTTAAAACTTATAATAATTATTATTTAGTTATTATACAGGATGTCTCTGACCCAATCTACCACCATTTTTCATAGGGGTACTCTTGTGTCAGACACCCTGTATTTTTTATAACTATCATTTAACTCTTATGTAACTCATAATATTTACTAAACATAAAAATAATTATTACAACTTGTTAAAATCTGAACAGTAATATAAAACAAAAGCTTGTAGAGATGGATCGCCAGTAAATAAAGAACAAATTGTCGACGTTATCCTTATTATTTAGTAATATAAAAGTTATTTAAGAATATAAAAAAACCTTTTTATAGCAACCTGTGGGGTTATTTTTACCTACTCTACAAGTCCACTAGAGATTGCCAATCTTTACAGAAACACCTTGTGTACGGGGTGAGTCATCTAACATGACGACCTTAAGGGATAATGACACTAGTGCCCGGAAAAACGGCCTAATTTTCACAATTTTTATGTGAATATAGTAAATGGAACACAAAATCTGTTTAAATGCCTTTATTGTACATACTTTGAAATGTATTCACAATTTTTTCAATTTTTTTTTACAAAATTGCGGCGTCAGAACTCGGCAAAGGAACCTGTTACTTTCAGCAGCCGGAAAGTAATAGGCTTTCTTTGCTGAGCTCTGGTGCCGCCATTTTATTAAAAAAAATTGAAATTTGTAAAGTTAAAAGTATGTACAATAAAAGCCTTGAAACAGATTTTATATTCCATTCGTTATATTCCCATAAAAACTTGTCAAAATTTTTCCTGTTTTTCCGGGTGCTAGAGTGGCACTTTCCCTTAAATAAATCGTAAAATATTTGCTCTATGAAAAAGTTATTCAAACAAAAGTGGCATAGTATCAAGGGGGACATATACGAGTATGTAGTAGAATGGTCACTTTTTGTGTTATACTAGATAGGGTGTAAAGTCAATAGTTACTGAGATCATTGTAAAACAAATTCAACCTCTTTTTTTAATGTGTAGATGTTTAAAATTTAAAATTAAAAAAATTATTTTATACAGCTGAAAATGTACAAGAAATAATTTATCTTTTTTAAAAAGTAAAAAGTTGCTACTTTTGAAATTTTTTAACGCATCTTTTCTCTTAATAACTTATTAAAGTATACAGATATTATTACAATTTGTTATAATAATTTATACTAATAAAATAATAATAATCTTATTAAATTAATAGTAATTAAATAAACTATAATAATCGATTTTACAATAAAATGGTTTTCAATCAAATTGAAACTTAAACGCCATTTAGGACCTGGCATAGGTGGTGGCCATTAAATTACTAACAATAAGTGAATCCATATACCGTCTTTTTCCACCCTGCACTGCGCGCCGTTACTATCGGACATATACAGTGTTTGCTGTTATCTAAATAAAATTATATAGATGAATATCTAGATAAAATTTTAGCGTTATCTTATCTTTATATATATAATAAAAATAAGTATTATCTACATCTGCATCTTAGATGAAAGAAAGTGTTATCTTTACTAAATTATCTAAGATAACGTACAGATAATTTGGTTTAGGGCCACATAAAAATACTTAACAGTTACACTATTTAAATATGGATGGCGTTGTAGACCATGCATTTATGTGTGTGTGTCATATAACTTAACCTGAATATATTCTATAGCCCCCTTTATAATTTAAATTTTTCTATACTTTTTTTATAACTTTTTCTACTATGTTTACATGAAGTCTTAAAAATATTATATGAAAATTATCTAGATGAATCATCATATAATTTTATCTTTTATCTAGATATATTCAAAGTGAAATCATCTTTATCTTATCGAAGATAAATTTATATATTTATCTTAGATAAGATAATCTTATCTAAGATAAATTTATATATTTTTATCTTATCTTCATCTAGCTAATTTTAAAATCATCTATGCACAACACTGGACATATAACAGATTTCCCCTAGGTGGGATCATTAGCGTCATGAATTCACGTGTTCTGGTTTTCATTAGGGATGGGAAACCTGCGTTGCTGCCAATATTAAAGTAAAACTACCGCAAGATCTTTGCGAACACTTCAGTATCTTCAAGGAGATGCTAGATTATCCACGTTTCTGGAACGAATGGCTTACCGAGAGCCAACGAGAAACCTTGTACAATCTCTTGCCTACTTTTCCAAAAGACTCCAATATAGAGGCGCAAATGGAAAGATCATTGCAAATGTTATTTAATAGAGAAAACGACAGGTAGTGATTATTAAAGATTTCTTTTTTTGCAAAATGAGAATAATAGATCGGGCCCCGGAATCGATTTATCTGGAACATTCGATTTAATTGAGACATAAAATGTATTGTAGATTTGGTGTAACGACATTGGACGCGTTTCATAATCATCTTTCCTCTGGTCACTATCGTCCTGATATCAAAAGAATACGCGGCTTGGTTCGTAAAGCGCAGAAAAGAAGATCGTTGTTTGAGGAACGGAAACGATCGTACGAATTGGCGAATCAGTTGCTAAAATCGCGCGAAAGTTTGTTATCAAACGCGTACAGACAAGGTTTCAATCAACCAGTGAACCGAACGGTATCTAAACTTCATTGGCGAAAATCACAACCAATAATGGGTGAGTGTCCGTTTCGTATTCGATGTCTTTCGATTGCTTATCTTTCTCCCGTACTTGGGCCATTTGGCTGAAAAGTACGAAACGACCGGGGCAGGGGGGGGGGGGAAGACAATACTAACGTGAGAATGAATAATAGTTGAGGAAAAGACCCAATTGCGCTATTTGGAGGAGCTAAACGCAGTTCGGGCGGAGCTCAGGACTAGCATGAGACTGTCCGCTGATACGACGTCCGAGAACGAAGAGAATTATCCTCATTATCATACAACTGGCGCTAAGCAGAAGAGAAAACGACGTTTTACCATGAGTCTTCAAGGATTGTCGGTCAAAGGCCTACAGCTCAATCATGAGGATGACACAATTCGACCTGTATTCTCCACCTTGCAGCGAATGGAGTACGCTTCTAATAGATCGTTGTTTGTACGCGAACAAACGGAGGAGACCTATCGTACTATGTTAATCGCACATAAAAAACGACGTGCCCGTCGTGACGTATGTATAGTGTTTCATTGTTTTGTTTACGGTTTTGTTTATTTAAGTAATAATTAACTAAACTATGCACACAGCTTCATCCGGAGCTTAACACCCAAGGAATTGCGCTCGCCGATCTCACGCAGAGATCGCAAATCGGTCAAAAGCAGAAGCTTACGATCGGCAATTCTATGAAGATAACGTCCGCTAAGAAGAAAATCAAGTTGGAACAAAACTCGTGTCTTCTGCCCACGCCAAAACTAGTAAACTCCAATTCTGTGAAACACGAAAGCGACAACAGCGATTACTCCCATACAACGGACGACAATAGACAATCCAATGTCGTAGACGTGGATTACAGTAAAATAACTATGCCTATCAAGTCGGAACCCGTTGAAGTGTACGATGTACAAACCAAAAAGAAAATGTAATTATGATCAACTGTATACATTAGATAAGTATCAGAGAATTATAACGTTTGATATGTTTCCCTCGTGTTTCTCACTTGCAGCAGCCCGGTGACTCAAAGGGTCAGCAAGCCAGCGGTAGCCAATGTACCAGAGATAAAAAAGGAAGTCGAAGACATGGAGTATGACAAAATCAAGACTGAATTAAATTTGGGCGTGAGCGAGGATGTGCTAGCTGAGACTGAGGAAGAGGAGGAGAATGAATCTAAGAAGGAGCTTGATTTGGACAGCATTGACATGATGCAGTTACCGATCCAACTTGATGACGGAATTGATATACTCGACGACGTCAAGTAAGTCCACTGTTTTGGTGTACGAGATAATAATTGTAATTAAGTTAATGCGCAAAATATTTAAATTCGAACGAATTGGCATTACAGGTGTGAAGATGAGAAAGTCATATCGATACCCGAGACGAAGATGACTGTGTCGGTCAATGAAAGTATTGATATTAACAACGGGGCAGAATTAATGCAAGAGACCCACACGTGCTTCTTCTCTCTGCTGCGGGACGCTTTTACCTCGAAGGGGGAGTACCGAATGAGCGCGGCAGAAATGAAGGAAGCGGTAACGCAGTGGCAAGGCAATCCCATCTCTCCTTTGAACGACTGGTAATACTGAATAAAACTCGGTGCCGCGATCGCAGATAGCGTTTCTCAACAAATTGTATGATATACTGAACTGTCGCAGGTATTCTCTAGTACCCTCGTGGCCTACTTTAGTACCATTAGCTCTGGGATTTCTTGCCGGCGAGTTAATGTATCCTCAAGATTTGGATCAGCGGCAAGAACGAGATCAAGAGCTTGTACCCTATCTGGAAAATAAGGGTCGAGGTGTATATGCGTGGATCGGTGCCGGGAGAGACTCTGATACCCGATTGCAGGACTTGTGCACAAAGTTCCTCATGTACAAGTAAGAACTGACGGCGAACACAGTTCCCGTAATCTTCAATTGCTGCATTATAGAATGTTACATTATAATGAAATTAAAATGTAATATTCTTAAATAACAATATTGAATAAGTGGATTTTTTAATTATAAAGAAATTTTGTAATTTTATAATGAAATAATTATGCTTTTTAGAGATGTATTGACGTCACCATACACTGCGACAACTAATATTGTAACACCAACAAAGTCGCAACAATCTCAACTCGCCTCGAGTAATAACAGCGCGAACAATAATGCGATCGTTACAAGCGGAATTTTGCAAAGCGGTAGAAGCGGAAGTCCAGCATTAGAAGCTACTAACGTGGACGCTAGTGCCGCTGGAACAGATTGGGAGCCACCTCGGCCGCTATTTCCCACGGAATGGAAAGTCCGTCCGTCCACGGTAGAAGAACGCGAGGAATTCCGGAGACAAGAGCGTATGCGTTACGCTGCGCCTCATAAAGCATTTACGTACCGCATGCATGGTTACGCGTCCGTAGTCGGCCCCGTCAAAGGAATTTACCAGCATAATGTTGGTATGTTGATTTTATGTTTTGTGATGTAAAGAATTTGAGTTGCCCTAAAAACTTATAATCATATTGTAACAAATATTAGCATCTGTGTATCACACATAGCGATACGTAGACAATTTAGATACATTTTTGGATGACATTCACTTCAAAAATTTATTTTCCCCCTTCAAATGCAATAACTTTTCCACATGACATTTTTCTATATAATCAGTAATAACCAAATTATTCGGGGTGGCAGAATTAAATGGACCACCTTGTATATCTTAGAAACTTTTTATAAAATAAATATGCTTTACATTTCTCTTATTATGAACATACTATATTACTATTAAAAATTTTATACTTGCTATAATTAATTATAACTAATAACTTTTACACTGTTAATTAGTAATAACTAAATTCTGTTTAATTAAGAAAACAATATTCTAAGAATATGTTTTTATGTAAAGTATTTTTAAACTCTCGGTAAGAAGACTACATTTTAGATTAACAAATTTTTTCTAATCATTAATTCTTATTACAGAGAAATATAAGATTAATCAAATTGTTTATATTAAGCTTCAGGACAAACCAAGGCTCGAGGACATTCGTTACTGGTGCCGGATCGTCCAAACTTCGTAACAATTTTAGCGCTAGTTAGAGATGCTACTGCTCGACTTCCCAATGGCGAAGGAACTCGAGCTGATATTTGTCAGTTACTGAAGGATTCACAGTACATCATAGAACAAGACAATGACGAGAAGGAAGGATACCTCCATTCTGTGGTATCGGGAGCGCTTGATAGATTGCATTACGAAACAGATCCCTGTGTTAGATATTATCCTCGTCGAAAGGAGTGGCTCTATCTTCATCGAGGACGATCTGAATCTGAATTTGGTTCGTTAGCTGTTTATTTATCTTGGTTATTTTATACATTGTTTATTATGTGACGCGAATATTTCTAAAACATTTACAATTCCAACTTGCTCATGTCATTGTATCAAGATAATTTTTTTGTCTCATAGAAATGGTTCACCAACAATTGCAAGGTATTGCAAAGAATAAGAAAAGCGTTGGCAATACGTCGCGAAATAAAGTGGTGCAACCAATCCTGAAGTCAGCCAATATAAATAAAGAACAGTCTTCGAATACTAAGGAAGTTGTTCTGAAGAAAGAAAGGCGAGTGACAACTATGCCTACGCAACCCGTTATTCCTAAGTAATCAACTTGTATTTATTTACAAACTGTACAATGTTTGAGAAAAATTAATTACCTACGTTTATCATGTTTTCCGCAGGAAAGAGCAGCGTAAAACTGAAGAGAAAATTATTCCTGATCATCCTATTCCCCCTGAACATTCCGTTAATACTAATGTAGAAATGGCAGTTAGCGCAATAACATCAGCGATTTCTACTGCCGAGACTCCTGCGTCCGTTGCGTCGGTCGTGACCTCTTCGGCTCCGATCACAAATGTAGCGAGCGCAGAACGAGATAACACTGCAATAGACACGAAATCGCAGCTCGCTCCGATAACGATGGTGAAAAAGGCATCCACCATCGGAGGGAAACCAATCGCTGTGCTCAAGACAAACGCTACTCAGAGTCTATTGCAATCGAATCAACACAATTTTCCGCATCACCAAATTCAAGTGTCGACGTCCGCTGGCCTGCAAACCATTCGTCTGTCTGGACATTCTGTACTGCAATCCGCACAGCAATCCGTTGCAACCAGTAATAATTCTAACGTGCTAAACGGAACTGCGGCAAACTTGACGACGATACTACCATCTACAAAAGCGCAAAATCAGCCACAGCAGCAGCCGGCTATTGTAGCAAATCAAGCGGGGAAAAGTATTCTACAAACTACCAATATAAAACAACAATCGCAGCAACAACAACAGCAACACGTGTTACCAGGCAAAACTCTCTTGGCATCGCAGATTAAATTAGTTAGCTCAAGTCAAATTAAATCGTTACTCACGAGCCATGGCCTTCAGGGTCAAACTATATTCATCAAACAATCCTCACCGTCAAATAATCAATCGCAGCAACAACAATTACAACAGCAGCAGCAGCAACAACAGCAGCAGCAACAACAGCAATTGAAGGTACCTCTGCGCGCGAACCTCGTTTTTACGTATATTATTTACCTCCATTTAAATTTTATTCTAATTTCAGCAACAACAACTCCAGCAGCAACGAGTCGCGGCTAATCAGCAGCAGCCTATACAACAAACTCCGGGAATGCAACGCATAATTGCACAAATCGGAGGGAAACCGATTGCCGTGCAGATACAACAATCGCCTCATCATCATCAACAGCAGCAACAGCAACAAAAGATACTTGCGAAAGTTTTAACTAACAGCAGCGGGGGGCAGATTATTTCTGTTGAGAGTTTGCTAGCGCAGAAAGGATTGAAATTGGCTACTGCCACTGGTCACGCTAATCAGCTTAATAGGCAAGGCAAGCAGGTCATACAGGCTCAATATCAGGTAAGCGCACTTTATATCTTTAGTTTATTTATTGACATTTATTGACTAGAGTACAATCTTTTGATCATAACAATTTGGATTGCGAAAGTGTTGGAAGTACAATAACAATTAAATATACATAATGGTAAAAACAATAATATAAAGAATCGTAAAAGAGTGAAATGCATAATTGAATTCAAATATATAGATATACATATGCTTATAAAAATTAAATAACTTGAGTCTTCAACTACCACTTTTAGTCTTAAAAAAAAGCCTCTATTAATTTGTCTACAAAAAAATGTTTGTGCACGAAGAAGTAATTTAAAAATCTCTTTCTATCACTGTTAGAATATCAAAAGTCTTATTATCAAGAATAATAATTATATCTTCGTCAATTAAATTAGAATAAGTATCCCTAATGGAAATATTTTGCTGAAAGTACTATAAAATCGATGAAAAGTGAAATAAGAGTTATTTAAAAATTACTGATTGTACCTCAAAATAAAACATCATTTTCTTTATGAAATTCAATATAATATTGTGAGATAAGGAAAGTTAAAGTGTACCGTTGAAAAATAATAAAAATATTTTGAAATTTCCTGAATTTAACTGTTACATTATTAAAAAACTTAGTAATAAATAGCAAAATTTTATTATATTTTCAGTAAAACATTTTCAACCGAGATATGTGTGTGTGTGCGAGAGAGAGAGAGAGAGAGAGATTCTTTTCATTCTTTTAACAATATTACATGAATATTTGTAGGTGGTGCCACAAGCGCAAGCATCTTCTAGTCAATCAAAAATAATAGCAGTGAGCACGCAACATCAGCAATCTCAGCCGCAACAGGCTCCGACTGTCCGAATGGTTACCGCTCAACTCGCGGGAAAACCCATTGTGTTAGCGAGCAGTAATAAAAACGTTGGAGTTGCAGTGAGCACCAGTGGCGGGAACGTAGTATTAGGCAAGCAGCCAGCCACTCAGCAGCAGCAGCAACAACAGACGCAGCAACCGATTATCTTGCCGAGCCAGCTGCTCAACATCAAAACGTTGCATGGACTCAAAGTAATCCCCACGCCAACTGGATTAAAAACCGCAGGTGGTGCCGTGTACGCTCGAGTTATCGCTCCTACGACGATAGCTTCCACACAGGCTACATCGAATCAACAGCAGACACTTCAAGCGCAATCGCCAAGGAACACCTCGTACAACACACCTTGACAGAATTGATATTGTTTACATATATATGTTTGTACTCGATTTACTTGGCACCACTTCTTTGACTGTTCATATGTTACTCAGATTATTAATTGAAACCTTCGAAGTAATGTCTCATTACACACGCACTTGCGTATACAGAGTGGGCCATTTTAATCTATGCACCCAGATTTCTTTGTACCTGAGACAGATACGGAAAAATGGTTCAGACAAAAGTTGTTCAAGATAATGGGGGTCATCTATCTGTGTAACTAGCTTTAACCTTGAGATTACTTTTCAAGGTTATTTGAAGATCAAAGTGGTTTTTTTTAATGGGAACCCCTATTTTTTTATTACATATTCTTATAACTTACCTCGAGAGCTTTCCAAAATGCTATAATAAAGTATATTTTTATTAAAAACTTTTCGAGTTATTAAGGTTTGAAAGTTCCGATATTTTGTAATTTATGTCAAAATATTAGAACTTTCAAACCGTAATAACTCAAAAAGTTCTTAATAAATAATACTTTATTATAGCGTTTTGGAAAGCTCTCGAGGTAAGCTATAAGAATATGCAATAAAAAATAGGGGGTCCCGTTTTAAAAAACCACTCTGACCTTCAAATAACCTTGAAAAGTAGTCTCAAGGTCAGAGCTAGTTACACAGATAGGTGACCCCCATTATCTTGAACAACTTTTGTCTGAACCATTTTCCCGTATCTGTCTTAGGTACAAAGAAATTTGGGTGCATAGATTAAAATGGCCCACTCTGTATATAAAATGACTTCTATATACATATAAATATATACATATATGTAGAATATATATATGTAATGTATACACGTGCTTAAATGTACATATGTGCGTGTATAAATTTGTCTTTAGATATACAAATATACGTTTCAAGAAAGCGAGTCTTGTACAAGGAAAGATCAATTATGTAACTACACTAATTTAATTAAGAAATAAGATTATAGGACCGAAAAAAAATTGAAAGAACGTATAATGAAGATACACGCAATTAAAATTAAAACTCATAATTAAACTGATATCACTAAAACTGAATTACCGTGTACTTATATCATTGAATTTGGATTGTGATCTGGATAGCAGCAGCAGATAGCTATATAAATGTATCATCTAAATAAATAATTTGTCTAGATACCTGTTTGAAGTAACAAACTAGAAAATACTTCCTGATTTAATTATCTCGTACGACTAGTGGAGAATACATACTAGATTTTAGAAAATCAAGTAGAGAAAATTAAATTGAATAGTTCAATTATACTTTGCATGACATACATATATAACATAATATAACTGAACCTATTTTATCACATATTTAGAAAAGTATTGTGCAATGTAAAGTTAGCATATAAATAAACACATCTCACATCTATAATAAGAAGATATTAAATTTTCAAATTGTAAATATCCAAGAAAATAACGTGAATTAAAGAAATAGTCGATGACCATATCACAATAGATCATGGTTCTACATGTTAAATTGTAGGAATATTAAGTAATATTAATTTGTAGTGTATCAAGATGTGTATAACCAATTGAATCATATAAATTATCTTTAATCAGGTGCATTAACGAGGGACAATATTATCTATAATGTATAAACGAGAAAATAATTTCTACAAAAGTTAACTAAAAATTTTATCGAGCAAGCGAGAATGCCTTTAGGTCCGAGCAAGATATTGGTAGCCTAATAATTGTAATCTAAATTGTGAATTCATATACAGCTTTCTCCACCTTGTCCTGCGCGCGCCGATTTCTTTTCAGACATAACAGTTTTACTTACAATTAGTTGAAATCATTGTCGTCAGTGAATTTACATATTAAAATCGATAAACGATTTCCAATTATTTTAAATGCTATACTTAACATTCAATAGCCTCCTCCCCGTGACGGGTGTCTTAAAAACAAATATAATATTCCGTCAAATTTCGACAAGTATTTAGAAGATAACATTTTTGTCTTAATAAAAGTCGAAATTTGACGGAAAATCAGTGTTGCGGTAGAAAATTTTTAATTTTTTTATATTACATCCCTTAGCAAATGACTCTTAATTACAATTCTACTATACATACTATAATATACTATGTAATATACTATAAA